TGTTCATACTCATATCACCAGTCACACAAAAATCACCCCAAGTTATGGGACAGATGGCATCTGCAACCACCAACGACCAGCAAAGCCCCACGAAATTTTGGAAGAAACATGCAAAAAAAGGCATGTCCATCCTCACTTCATGTTCAAGGGAAGGCATGTCCATCCATGCTTCACATGCAAATTAGGAATATGCCTTCATGGATACCTGGAACTTGGACTGTATAAAGGTGGTACTCCCAGAAAACAACCTGGGACCCCCACCACAGGAAGCATGACCCAAGACCCACACCATCGAAGTGGTGCCCAGGGTGAAGAAGGACCAATGGGATGTCACTGGATCCACATGCGGTGACTATCTACTCCTTGATCTCTCTCTCTCTCTCTATTGACTTTGGTGTATGGTCTTGTTTACAATTTAATTTGGACAGAGACATCTTCACTAATCAGGTCATAACAATCCCCATACTATTAGAAGCATGTAAAATGAAGGATTTCAGAAGAAAGGTCTGTTGCAGTCTAACTGGGATTTCATATGCCCCAAACCTTTTTGTCTTCCTGAGGGGTTCATTCCTTCCTATGTCTGAAGAAAGATCCAATACATAAGAGGCCATGACAGCTCTGATTTCCACAGTCCTTCCAATCAAAAAAAAACCTAGTGATGAAGGAATCACTGGGAAAGGCCAGCAACCAAGTGAAATACATGAGAATAATATCAGGAAGGCTTTAAACAGAATTTCTGCCTCTTCCACCATTTAAACTCACTTCTTGTGCCTGGGGTTTTCAAAGCCTATATGATCACTCAGTCTTTTTCTAAGAGGAAGTTTCTAAATCAGTTTATTTGCTGGTTTTGGAATGCCTGATACTGGCCAAGTTTGTGACAAATCACATGTGGCTGTACCACCATTTTTTGATAGTGGCTTCAGGGAAGGACAATGAAATGGCCAAGAGACAACTGATCTGTTCTCATGGGTCTAATTAGTTTTTGTTAGTGTTTAATGGAATTTTCAAACATATTTCCCACCCTTTTTTTTTGTGTGCAAAATGAGATTCTTATTTTAACTCAGTTCCATAACAATTCAAAAACACTGGAATAAAACTTCTGACAAAAATATCTCAAAAAAATAAAGGGTCATGACTGTTCTTGAAAAAAAAAGTGCGCAAAAGAAGGGTAGATAAAATAAATCCTAAAAAGAAAGAGGGGAAAAATCCTCTGTCCCAAAACATATCTGAGATTTGAATCAAGGATGTCTCTAACTGGCTTTAAAATGAATTTATAAGCCAACTTTGTCTTCTCCTCTGTCAGTTACCCAAGCAATGAGGATGTGCATTGAACCAAGAATATTTGTTTCATCTTTCCAGGCTGTGTATCATAACAGGCTGCTTCATTTCCATGAGAAAGGTATTTTTTATTTCTTCCAAAAGTGCCCAAGCAAGTATGATGATCCCCATTTTCTAAGTAAGAACACTACTTGAAAGTTAATTCACAATTTCCGATTCTCATATGCAGGTGCCTATGCCAATGTTAAGGAACAGACTCTGGGCCCAGCACACCCTTTTTCAGGACATCAGGTTCTCCATAACTAAGGTGAGATACTGGGTTTAGGGCTGGATTTATGTATCAGTGGAAGGAGAGAACTCACCATTCTGGACACACTGTTTCTCTCCTCCCACTGTGTGATGGAAGTTCATTGCCTTATCTGTTCTACATGCATTTTTCCCTTGAGAGGCTTCGTGTTTGTTCATTCCAGTTTGCTGAGTCCCATTTACAGCATTCTTGCTGGAATCCACACTTTTACTTTCCCCAGGATTTGGTTCTTTACTGTTCTCTGTCTTTGCTGCTGTGGCTTCTTCAGTGGGCTTCTTCTCATCCCTTTCATCTCTTTCCTTTAAATCTGTTGTCTGACAAGCATTTTCCTCTCCTTCTTTCTTAGCTTTTTCTTCTGCATGATCAGCAAAGAGAGAAGCAAAATGAGGAAAGAAATCACAAGTATCAGTCAATTTGACAATAACAACTCACATACCTAAAACTACTTCAGTTTTTTGCATGTACACAGCTTTTACTTAGATAAATGTAGGAAGAGATTTGGCAGTGGAAAAAGAGCACAGGAGTGCATTTAACAAAGTATTCTGAAAAAAACATGCCAAGCTGGCCTAAATGTGCATGCCCTTTTTTTACCATATAAACTTCACCTTTGAAAAAGTGGTTCCTCAAAGTTATTAAAAGGCAAATTAAAAAGAGATAGTAGCTACAGAAGGCTCTAGGGGTGTCAAGGTTGGTTTCATTTTTGACACACAAGAGTCAAACAACATGTAGTTTATCTCACACTGTACCATGTAACTATGCTTTTTCTCCCTCTTGTTCCAGAGTGCTTCCCTTCTTCTTAACAGTTATCCTCTCTTTATGGCTTCATCCTTTCTTGACAGACTAATATATTGCTACTAGTACTTGCCCTTCCATCCCAAAAATTTTGCAGTCAGTCATAAATATGCAAAGGTAGAAATTCAAAAGTGAGCTTTGAGCAACAACAGCATCACATAATAATAATATTCAGAAAAAATAAATCACAGATGAGCCATTTCCCCCACTGAAGATACTGTTTTGTTCTTATCCAAACATTAGGTACTTATGCAACACTTACTTATATGACAGGTTGCAAATTACTTTGGCTTTAGGTATACAGACCCCTAGATTTCTAGCTCAGGCCACACTCTAACAGACTCAGCTGCAAAGGCTTTGTGTGGCTTTCTGAATGACACTGAAAAGCAGGACACAACCACAGTCCTTTACTGCAGCCCTCATGCTAATAAACATGACTGGTTGAGCATAGACTCTATCATTTTCTCCCTCTTTTCCATGACAGAAATAGACACTTAATTTGCAAAGGCAGCTGAGTAGCTCAGCACAATCTCAATTTGGAACCTGTTAGATTATGCAGCTTCAGAGCATATCTGTATCTATACTGAGTCTAATCTCAGAGATGTGACCAACCTATGCACATATTCAAGATTTCTGGATCAGCAATATTCTGGCCCACTCCTCACATGGGGTGATCTTAATTGTGACAGGCATCCACAGATGTATCTCCTGTTTTCTGAGAGACTGTGTAAGCTGAGGAACAGAGGAAGCAGATCCTACAAAACACTGAATAAAGTCTACCTCAGTTCTATGGAAGTATTCTTGACATCTATAGGGAAGATGTTTTGTTCTTTACAGGGGCAGCATCTCGGCCAGTGAGAAAAAATTATAAAATAATTTCTAAGTGTCTTGTCAAATACTTCTTATGAGTGACTCAGAACCAGTTTTGAGAAAAATGTACCAATGGGATACAAGAGTGGAAAGCTGTCCTTATAAGAAATGCCAATCTGTATTTCCTTTTCAGCAGCTAAGTAAATTAATTTTAAAATTAATAAATTATGGCTCAAGCAAAAATATAATACAATTAGCCTCCCTCACGTCATTAATCATTCCTGAAATTCGTGTTATCTTCCACAGGTACCTAGGCTATCCATATTGATATTTTTCCTCATGGTATACAGAAGGATTCCTCTCATTTGGAGATCTTCAAAAACAAAAACTGCGTTTTGCATCTGAACCATAGAAGAGAAATTTTTGTCAGGAGACTTGGCCTTCCTACAGCACCATTGAATGAGAGTATCTTGTCAAAAGTAGTGACAGAAAATACTTCATCTAAATGGTGCTTTGTACATCAGGGCATTTGCTTATTCAGTTCTTTAATTTGTAGCTATTTAACGATGATCCTTTAAGCAAAAAGAGAACAGTAATAAACACACTTACTTTGTCCACACAGTCTGAAAAATTTTCTATTACACTCTGTTTCATGCTCAGGATAAAAACATCTCACTGAGGCTTCTAGGGACAATGCCATTACCAAAGGGAATACACTAGAGTACAAATAATTTGATAATATTATTAGCTACAAGAATAACAATAATAGATTCCTTCCTTTCTGATCCCCAATTGTTATTTGTTGTCAATCAACAGTAAAATGTTTTATCTGTACTTTTTTAACTACAATTATTTTTATTGGCAGAGGATCTTGATGCCAGCTTGACAAGGGTCAGTAATTTCAGCCCCTGCTGTGTAGCAGGCCTTGCTGCATAAGGCTAAGACAGGCAAGGCAGATGGAGAGGGGTGCAGAAACATGATGCAAGTCAGGAGCAAGACAGCAACTGAGCAAAGATTTTGATGCAAGTGCTCTAGAGTCCAAGAACAATTCCTTAGTCCTTAGCCTATACAAGGTATGCTTAGCCATACTTTTGTATAACTATTTCAGGATTAAAAAAAATATGCAAGTTTGTACTGCCAAATGCACCTAGAAACACAGAAATTATGTGGAAGTCTCCCACGGATCTGTCTTGCATATTAAGATTTTTATCTAGTATATTCTTAGTTAGTTAAGCAAATATGTATGGTACATGTTGAAATGAAATTCTGAGAAGCAACATCTGTTGGGAGTTTTTTAGTGTGTGTGAGTTTGGTTTGGTTTCATTTGGGTTTTGTGGTTTTGTTTTTTTCAAGAAGGGGATGTTGGCTGTGATTTTTTTTCAGTTGTGTGACAATATTGAACCCTGGCCAACCTTCAACCAACACAGTCCACATATTCATCCAAAATACTTGTAGTCCCTCCCAGATTTATGACCTCATGAGCATTTGCAGCATAGTTATCAATTCATTTTCTAAGTCATCACCAGATATGATAACAGCTCTGTATCCAGAATATCCTGTCTTTTTCCCCTGAACTATCATCCGTGTCTCTTTCAAACTTAGTAGTGGAGAGGCTGAGGGAACTTGGATTATTTAGCCTGGAGAAGAGGAGGCTCATGGGTGACTTTATCGCTCTCTACAACTCACTGAAAGGAGGTTGTAGCCAGGTGAGTATCAGTCTCTTCTCCCAGGTAACTAGCGACAGGATGAGAGGACATAGTCTCAAGCTGTGCCAGAGGAGGTTTAGGTTAGACATTAGGAAGAATTTCTTCACAGAAAGGGTGATTAGACACTGGAATGGACTGCCTAGAGAGGTGGTGGAGTCATCATACCTGGGAGGTGTTTAAGGAGAGACTGGAAGTGGCATTTAGTGCAATGGTCTAGGTTGGACTTGAAGATCTCAGAGGTCTTTTCCAACCTGATTGATTTTATAACTGATGACCTATATTTACAAATAGTGTTCCAGTTATTTTTGCACCCGAATCTGATTCATGACTTCAGGGGATCTACCTAACAATATTTTTCCCCTTCCATTGTTTACATCCTCTTCATTATGCACACTTACACCACGTAAGAAGAGTATAAATCACAGATGAGTCACAGTACTTCTATCTTTCTGAATTCAGTGTAGGTTGCTGAACTCAAAAAACAGATTCTTTAAAACTACCAGTGCTTACTTGGAGAATTATTTGATTGAAGAAGAGCTTGAAGAAGAAGAGGTCAAAAGAATTTTTATTCTTTCACTAAGAAGCCTGGCTGTTACCTTTGGTGGCTTGCGCTTTCCATTTCTCCCTGTTCTGCTGCATGACCTCAGTCCAAGTGGTTTTAAAACATTTGAAGTCCACAGTGAGTACGGAGCAGTTGAGTGAGGCACTTCCTTCGGACCCAGTGCTCTTGACACTTGATCTTTTAACTTCAGAGGGACTAATGCTATTCAGACTGGGACACAATACCACAAAACACAGAAGAACTCAGTATTCCATACACTCAAACACAGCTAAGAAGAGATAAAGGCTGTAAGTCAGATAACAGTCACCCAGGTAAAAAACCCTAGGCTTCAATCCCTTATCCTCCCCTCCCACTGCAGACCAACCAGCGTTAAAGCAAAGAGCACAACCTAAACCAGTATTAAAGGGCAGCTTTTCTCACCCGTTTTTTTGATATCCATAGTCACCAAGAAATAGAATCACTCAAAGTGCTTTGTTGTGCATCTCCACTCCCTAAATATTATTGGAGAGCCAGAGAATTCTAGAAATCAAATATGTTAAAGGAGGAGTCTCCTAAAATTCATGAATGGAAGCCATTAGGTACAGAACAGGAGGTCAACCTCTGTCCAGGGCTTGGTGACCTCAGCTGAGGCTGAAATCAGGCACTCATTTCTGTTACAGATCCTAGAGTTGTCTTTCAAGGATGAATGCTTCTTTGTGCACATTTTAATAAAGGTAACTGTCATAAAAAGTATTAGTGCTGCTTTTGGTTTGCCTGAGAATAAAGAAGTCACCTGGGAGAGGGAATCCTGACTTGGTAGCCCTATTCTAGGGAGCACTAGCCATATGGCATTTGAATTCCAAGACATGCCTTGTCAGTTAAACTACTAAAAAAGTAGTATCTCTACAACAGCAGAGCAGGTTGAACATACTAAGACTTACACTCAAACTCCAGGTGAATTCTGGTGGTTCTTCACACATTTGTGTAACCCTAAATACTGTCACAAAAGTGTGCTTGTACTTTCCAGCCATCTTTTGTATTTCATACCCATTTATACTTCTAAACATGAAGAAATTAATGTCTCTCAATGACTCCCTTTACCTTCTCTCTGACATTAGTGACTGAGAGACCACTGAAGTTGCCCTGGTTGCATGGCTACAAGCATTTGTGCTCACTGCTCTGGAGGCATGACCCAGGTTCATGCCACCCTCCCTCTTTGTCCTCCCCTGGGCTGGAGTTTCCCTGCACAAAGTCACATCACGAGGTGAACTGTGGTGGTGGCAATGTAGATATGGGGCTTTAAGTCACATGGAATACATATGCTGTAGTGGGGGAAAGCAGGGGAGTTGAGTGCAATGGCAACATGTGCAGAGTGAAGGGAGAAGGCGCAAGGTTATTTACCTGGAACGCCTGAACCCAGACATGCCAGAGTGGGAAGCTTCATCGATGAGTGGAGTCACAATCTTCTCTGTCATGTCAGTCAGTACAGTAAAAGTGGGTTCCACAATGAAATCAATGAAACCTGAGCAGAAACACGAGCAGAGTCAAGCAGGCAAGAGGATTTATGTGAAGTGCCTGCTTCAGTGAATACAGGCAACCATGCTGTAAATGATAGCGTAAAAACAAAAATGCCTTGGAAGAGGGATAAGCAAATACTAGAAAGAGAAGACTGCTTATACATTAATCCCTGATCCAAGTGCCTGGATGCAGCATGCAATAAAAGGTACCTACTTAAACACTAGAAAGAAACTATGTCAAATTAGAACATAAACAGACTCATCAAAGCTTGTTTTATATGAGGAGTAGTGTGATATTGAAGTCAAATTCCTAGTGGATTTGGATAAAACCGAATTTCAAAGAAGAAATCTCTAAAAGCAGAAAATTAATACTACAGTAATAATACCCATAAGCTTTGCTGATGTGGTTATAGGCAAACCTCCCTTCCTGCGTATCGGTATGTTTCCATGAATACCCTCTCCTCAGTGCTTGGCCAGCTTATTCTTGTTGATAATAAAACAGATTTAGATGTTTTACCTCATTTTTTAATATAAGGAAAGGAAAAAAAAGTTCCAAATAATTTCTGCTACAGCATACAGTTTGAAAGAGATGAATATGGCACTGATAATTATTATATTATTATGTCGCTAACTTAAGTAGCAAGATGGTGGGAACTGATTCACATAATTCCTAAGGTTGGAAAAGACCTTTAAGGTTGTCAAGTCCAACCATATAATAGCAAATTTGGAATTCAGTAAGAGCTTGATTTTTGCAAAGAAAAGTTGTTATTACTATTTCAGGGGAAAAAATATTAACACTTTTAATCAAGTAAATAAATTAATGGAAAGAGATTATTTGCCTCAGAATCCAGCCTATGACTTTGTTAAGTTAAAACTTCCTATGTTTTCTGGCTATCTGCTGAGATAAGACTTTCAAAGGGGATGTTGCAGAAAGACACTGTCAATATGTGCAGTAGACCAAGAAATGAACATTTTATAATGTTAGAAGGCAAAATTTATAGAGAGCAGCCTACTAATGTCAATGGATTACTAAACTGCAGAAATCAAATACAATGAAAATAATATGACTAAAGCTGTCTTTATCTGCTGGCAAATGCCTTTTTTATAAGGTGGAATTGTGTTGGTGGTGGTTTAATTTAACATTAATTTTGCACTGGCTTGACAAAAGGGGCAGACGTTTCTTCTTGAACAGATGTTTCTTGTCTGAGCAAAGGAACACAAAAGAAGGGGACCAGGGAAACTGGTTTCCAAGCATATACAACCTGATATAGAGGGAACACAGGGGAGGTGCAGTTCCTCTTCCCTGTAAGGCATGAGGAACATATCTGAAAGCTGATAAACGGAATGTAAAACAGAAGTCTCTACATGCACTTTGCTTCACAGCAACCAGAGAGAGAGATGTAGTGTGTCCAGGAGTCTTCAACATGAGTTTTAGCTGAGACTTCAGCACCTGAAGTTTGCTAGCGCTTTCCTCCACTGAGCTGCTGGTGGAACACACAGTTGTACTCTGGGTTACCATCGCACAGGAGTAAATGACACAAGTCTGGTAGGACAGGCTTGTACAGGGCTTTTCAAGTTCAGATTGTTAGCTTAACTGTCTAAACTTACAAAGCCAGAAAAATCTGGGATGGTGTTCCTCAGAGAATGGCTTGCCTAAGCGGAACAATGAAATTTTAAACAGCAACAGCTCTTAGGCAAAGATATGAGTCTATACTTTTCTAGGTTCAGATATATATTTGTCTCATTTTTTGAGGGAAATTTCATATTTCAGATTTTTTGTTTATCTTCCTTTCATACATTATCTTTCTGTATTCCTCAGTTCCCTCAGTTTTAGGTTTCACATTATTTTTCTTTTGTTATTCCATTTGGCTAATTATTCTCCTGTTGAGATTAGAACAAATTATTCTGTCTCCTTTGTATGCTTCCTAAGTATAAAAATCCACCCACAAATCCACCTTTTCCATTGTCTTTTCTTTGCTTAACCCCTCTTGTACTCTCACCAAATGCCAGGCTTGCTGCGTCA